CACTGCCGGAGGTGTCACCTTTCGGTTCACACTTGGCCTGTACAGATTAGGATCGTCTGGGCTTCTGATCACTGTCGATATTGAGCAGTGACTATACCTCACAGCCGGAACACCCCTGTCCGCAGCGACACACAATCTGAGGCCACGTCTGGATCACCGTCCCCAGCACTAGCTTCCAACTCCCCCCTAACCGCCGGAACATTGTCCCTGGCCTTATCCCACCGCGGGCCTTACCTTGCCTCTGGGCCAAACCGAGCGCCGCGAGGAGGAGAAACCCCGCGAGCCGCATCGTCCCGCCGGCCGCGCGAGCTCCACTTCCGGCCGGAGCGGAGCGGGGCGGGCCACAGGGGTGGGCGGGGCATATGGTTGTGGAGGGGACAAATGGCGGGCGGGGCTTTTGGATTGGTCGGGGTGGGGGGAAGGGAAGAATAATGGTGGGGCTGGGTGTGAGCGAGGGACCCGGAATGAGGGCGGGGCTTGCTGTGAGGTTGGGGCAAGGAGGAGTTGGGCTTTTGTATGGGCGGGGCTAGGAGAGGCGGGGCTTGGAGAGGCGGGGCTTGGTGTGGGTGGGACCTGAGAAAAGCGAAGTAAATGGGTACGGAAAGGGTTCGGAACCATGTTTACCTGCTGTCAGTGTGTTGGAGGATGATGAAGGTGTAACACAGTCAGTGGGTTGGATTGTCATAGGAGTCGGTCTTTGGGTTTCCCGCCGGCCTTGACGATGCGGGGTAATGCTCTGGCCTTTTACTGCTTGGGCCTGGCCGCTTTCGGTCTGCCTGCGGCCTCCTGCTCCCAGGGGGACCGGGAGCCCTATTACCGCGACTGCGTCCAGCTGTGTGAGCGACACAACTGTACTGGAGCCCGGCTGCGGGTTTTCCACAAACTGCAGCCCCTCTACATGATGGCAGCAGGTAAGGGCCACTTCCCCCAGGGTACAGCCCCACAGACCCTGACTGTCGCTGGGGCACGGGGCCCCACACGCGGTCAACAAGGTGTGGTTTCTGTCTGTTTTGCTTTCATTGCAACAAAATGAGTGGGCATTTGATCAAGAATAATTTCCTTTTCTGTCTCTACTCAGACTGAGGCATTGCCCATTGATTCAACAGTTGTCTTTTCACTACTGCAGTGGCCCTGAAATGAATTTATTTGTGGTTGAGTTGCTTGTTAGAAGTAGCTTGAATGTTGACCATGTCTGTTTCTACTGGCAGGTTGGAGCTGTGCCGACGACTGTCAATACAACTGTATGTGGCTGACAGTGGGACTGTACATTCAGGAAGGACACAAAGTGCCTCAATTTTACGGCAAGGTGATGTGGGTACTGCAGTAATTTAAATTATTAATTGATGCTGACTTTGGTTGGAGCATTCAGCATCTGAGATTCCTGGGAACCAATAAGACCCTGAACCCTTGCTGTGAACCCTACAGTGTCCCCTTTGGTGTGACCCTGAGCCCCTTCACAAAAGTATTGCGCATAACTTGATGCTTCTCAAGACCATTTGTTGAGCACCACCACCACCCTCGCTAAGGATGCTGGGTTGTTTCTCGACTTTAACTAGTACTTCTCTTTCTTTTTGCAGTGGCCCTTCTACCGATTTCTGTTCTTCCAGGAACCTGCCTCGGCCTTTGCCTCTATGCTGAATGGACTGGCCAACTACGTGATGTTGGGCAGGTACCGGGCTGCAGTGCCTCTAGAATCTCCTATGTACCATACATGCATCTCCTTTGCCATGGTAACGACAATACTAAACTCTGCTATTGTAAAAGAGTTGGTGTCTCTCGACAGTGCAGTGAAGAGATACTGTAGAACAGGAAGCAGACTGATACCTCAAAAGGTTCATTTCCCTGACCATTTTTACAAATGGGATACAGGCTTCTGTCTGTGCAATGGATCTTCAAGAATGAGATTTTTTGGGCTATTCACATATTCACACAGCCTGTTAGAGATACAGGGAAGGAAATCACCGTGAATTTATCCTGGCCTCCTCCTGTGACCACATGCGTAGCTTTCCAGAGAAGTTGGGAGCTGGGGCTTGTTCACAGTTTAAATTTTTGCCCATAAGTGAAGGTGTTTTCAAGGAGAGATGGGTGTTGAGTCATCTCCAGCTTGTACGGTGCTGCTTTACATCTGAGTGACTTTATGAAGGAGTTAACTAGTACCTTTTAGGTTTCTCCCAGTTACAATCTTGAACTGAAGTGTGAAGAGATTATACTAAATTTTTGTCAGTGACAGGTTTGACCCCTGCTGGAATTTTGTCCCATTCTGGCCACCGCACTTTGGGAACGATGTCAAGGACTTTTGCAGAGGGGATTTACTAGATTGTTTTCCCAGGGGTGAGGGATTTAGTTAATTAGGAGATGCTGGCACTGTTCTCCTTAGAGCAGATTTGATAGAAATGTTGAATATCATGCAGCAGCCGTAATGTGTGAATATGTGAACTTGTCCAGGAAGAACAAAGAAACAGCAGATTATCTAATGGGAGAGATTGCAGAACTCAATTGTTCAAAACTGTCCTGAGTGTCCTGGTTGTTGAAGCAAAAAATATATGCAAGTATGGCAAACCATTAGGAAGGCAAGTGGAATATTGGTGCTTACTACAAAGTGAATAGGGTATAAAAATAGGATTGTTTCGCTCCAGTTATGTGTGGTGTTGATGAGACCACATCTAGAATACTGTGAGAGGTTTTGGTCTTATCAGAGAACAGGTTCTACTAGATTTGCGACTATGTAATGTGGCAGCACTAATTAATGACCTCACAGTAAACCCTGAGGTAGCAATGATGATAATATGATTAAATTTTGTGTCCTGTTCGAAAGGCAAAAGTTAGTATAAGACTATATTTTAAACATAACTAAGGGTAACCGTGTGGGCATGAGAGCTGAGCTATAGATGAGGGATGGATCAGTAGATAGCAGTAGGTCAGTTTTGCAAATAAATATTTCATGGAATGACAGTTGCCCATCGCTTGTTGCCCTGAAGAAGATAGTGGTGAGCTGCTTCCTTGAACCATCTACAACATGCACTACAGAAATTTATTAAATCTCCTCAGACCATGCCTTACAAACCCACAACTCTTATCCAGGAGGACAAGAGGAGCAAATTAATGAAAATACCACCACATGAAAGTTCTCCTCCAAGCCACGCACCATCTTGGCTAGGATATACAGTACTGCTACTGAAAATATACCCACAATGCCATTAGGGAGGGAGTTCCAGCACTTTTACCCACGAACAGTGAATGAGCAGTACCGTATATCCTAGCCAAGATGGTGCGTGGTTTGGAGGGGAGCTTTCATGTGGTGGTTTTTCCATTAATCTGCTCCTCTTGGCCTCCTAGATACGTGAGCTTGTAAGGCACTGTCTGAGGAGATTCGATAAATTTCTATAGTGCATCTTGTAGATGGTACACACTGTTGCTACTGAGTGTCACTGGTGGAGGAAGTGGATGCTTGTACATATGGTATCAATCAAGCTGCTGTGTTGTCCTGGATGGTGTCGAGCTTCTTGAGTGTTTTTGGCACTGCACCCATCCAAGTGGGGAGTATTCCATCACACTCCTGTCTAATGCCTTGTAGATGGTGAATAGGCTTTGGGGAATGAGGAGATGAGGTACTCATTACAAGTTTCTAGCCTCTAACATACTGTTACAATCATACAGAAGAGGCCTTTGGCCCATCAAGTCTGCATCGACAAAAATACTCTAAATCCACACTAGACCCACTACCCAGCACTTGGCACAGCCTTGAATGTTATGTTTCACGGTCATCCAACTACTTCTTAAAAGTTGAAGTTTCCACCCTCAACTACCCTCCCATATAGTGTGTTTCAGATTCCCACTGACCTCTGGTTGAACAAGATTTTCCTCAAATCTAAATAAATCTTGTATCTTTCACCTTAAAATTATGGGCCCTTGTTATTGACCCTTCAACTAAAGGGAACAGCTGCTTTCTTTCTACCCTGTATGTGCCCTCCATAATCTTCTAGACCTCCATCAGGTTCCTTCCTCTCAGCCTTCTTTTCTGCAAAGAAAAGGTGCTGTTCTTATCCAGCCTGTGTTTTTTGCTGAAATGCTCCATCCGGGGCAACATCGTAATGAATCATCTCTGCACCTACTCCAGTGCAATCACATCCTTCCTATTGTGTGGTGACCAGAACTGCATTCGGTACTCCAGCTGTGGCCTAACCAATGTTCTGTACAGCTGCACCATAGCTTCCCTTCTCTTATAAGCTATGCCAGAACTGATAAAAGGCAAATATGCTGTACTTGGCTTTAACTACCCTAATAACCTATCCTGCTGTCTTCACAGATCTGTGGTCAAAGCACCCAATATCTGTCTGATCCCCTGACCTACCTAGCGTCCTGCCATTCATTGAGTATTCCCTTGTCTTGTTACCATCACCTCTCATTTATCAGGGTTAAATTCCATCTGCCACAGATCTGACCAATCTGCCTACCCTTCTTGTAATCTAAGAATACCACTGAATATGAAGGGGCAATGGTTAGATTATTTCTTGTTAGAGATGCTCCATGGCACTGTGACACATCCTAGTTCCCACTTACCAGCCCAAGCCTGGATATGTTCAATGTCTTTGTGTTTGAACATGGACTGCTTCAGTAGCCAAGGAGTCAAGAATAGTGCTGAGCATTTTGCAATCATCAGCAAATGTCCCCACTTCTGATGGAGGGAAGATCATTGGCGAAGCAGCTGAAGGTGGTTAGCTCTATTACCCTATCCTGAGGAGCTAAGGCTCTTGTGGCACAATGCCTCTATGCCAGTGCTTAAAGTGTGGGTTCAAGTTCTCCCTTGCTCCACAGATGAGCAAAAACACTTCTGACCAGCTTGATTGGAAAGTATCTACGCAGAGTAACTCCTTTAGAAATATCCTAGAGCTGAGATGATTTCCCTGCTAACAGATACTAACATTTTCCTTTATGCCACTGATAACTTCAACCAATGGAGAATCTGCCTCTTCTTGATGCCACACTTGGTCAAATGCAGCCTTCATTTCAAGGGCTGTCCCTCTTACCTCACCTCTGGAGTTCAGCTCCTTTGTCCATGTTAGAACCAAGGCTGCAATGAGGTCAGGAGCTGAGAGGCCCTGGTGGCACCCAAACAGGGTGTCACTGGGCAGGTTATTGCTGAGCAGGTACTGCTTAATAGCGCCGTTAAAAAGATGCCTTTCATCAATTTACTCATGATCAAGAGTAGTTTGATAGAACTGTAATTGGCTGGGTTGGATTTGTCCTGCTTTTTGTGCACAGGACATACCTGGGCAATTTTCCACATTGTCCTGTGTATGCAGTGCTGTAGCTGTACTAGAAGAGCTTGGCTTATAGTGTGGGTAGTGCCAGAGCTATGTAGTAATATCTCTGAATGGGTGTATTTAGAAAAGATCTAATGAGGATTGCAAAGGCATGTTGGCTAACTTTACAGATGATACAAACATAAGTGTGAAAGTATGCTGTGAGGAGAACATAAGAACAAGGGACAAGAGTAGGCCATTCAGCCCCTCGAGCCTGCTCTACCATTTGACACCATCAAGATTGATCTCATTTTGGCCTTCACTCTAGTTACCTGCCTTTGCTTCATAACTCTTCAACCCATTACTAATCAAAATTCTATCTCTTCCTCAAATTTACTCAATGTCTCGGCATCCACTGCTCTCTGGGGGAGTAAATACCACAGATTCACGACCCTGAGTGAGAACTAATTTCTCCTCATCTGTTTTAAATCTGCTCCTCCTAATCTTAAAACTGTGATCTTTCATCTAGATTACCCCACATGAAGATTCTTCCTTTCTGTCTATGTTCTCAATGCCCTTTAGCATCTTTATATTGAATTAAATTTCCACTCCTTCTAAACTCCAGAGATTATAGGCCTAAACTGCTCCATCTCTCTTCAGAATACAACCCCCTCATCTCTGACATCAATCCAGAGAACCTCCTCCAAAGCCGTCTGCAATACAACTACATCCATCCTCGAGTAAGAGTAAATTGTACGTGATACTCCAGATGCGATCTCTCTAATGCCTTGTTGCAGCAACAGTTCTCTACTCTGTACCTTTAGCAATAAATGCTTAAATTCCATTTGCCTTCCTTATTACCTGCTGCATACTAGTTTTCTGCAGTTCATGTACAAGGAAACCCTCTGCACTGAAGCACCCTGAAGTTTCTCTTTGTTTAGATAATGAGTTACCTTTTTGTTCCTCTGACTAAAATGGACAATCTCATACTTCTCCATGTTAAATTTCATCTGCCAAATTTTGGCCCATTTGTAAGTTTCTTCATGGCAACTAACTTTCCCACATACTTTAGTGTCATATGATTCCAATCGATTTAAGTAAGTTGAGTGAGCAAGAAACTGGCAAATGGAGTATTATGTGGAATTGTTCACTTTGGCAGGAAGGATTTTTAAAAAACAGAAGGTATTCAAAGGAATACAACTGTAGAATTCCAGGATGCAGAGGGATTTAGGTCTTCTAGTGCATCAGTCACAGGGTTAGCATGCAGGTGCAGCAAGTAATTGAGACTAATGGAATGCTATTCTTTATTACAAGAGGAATTGAACATAAAAGTAAGCATAAAAACCAAAAGAATTGTGGATGCTGTAAATCAGGAAAAGCTCAGCAAGTCTGGCAGCAGCTGTGGATAAAAAATATCAGACCTGAGCTTTTCCATAAAAGTAAGCATGTTATATGTCAGTTATACAATGTAGTGATGAGACTACATCTCATACTGTGTGCAGTCTGGTCTCCTTATTCAAGAAAGGTTATAGATTGTTGGAGATAATTCAGAAAGGTTGACTAGATTGATACTGGGAAAAAAAAACAGGTTGTCTTTTGAGAAAAGATAGGACAGACTGGGCTTATTTCCACTGGAGTTTAGATGTGTGAGGGACGGCTTGATTTTAGTATATAACATCCTGATCTGTCTTGACGAGATGGATGTGGAAATAATATTCCTCCTTGAGGGACAAACTAGAACTACAGAGGAGTTTAAAAATAAGGTCTCTCCCATTTAAGATTGACATGAGAATTTTTTCTCAGTGAGTAATTGGACTCATAGGGCATTGGAGGTATGGTCATTTTATAACATTAAAACAGTAAATTCTTGCCCAACAGGCGAGTCGAAGACTGTTGGTGTAAAGCCGGAAAGTGGAGTTGAGGCCGCATTAAGATTAGCCATGATCTTTCCAAATGATGGAATAGGCTTGGGGCAGAATGGCCTACACCTGCTCCGAAATGATATGTCACTATGTTTTTGCATCATAGAATCCCTACAGCCATTCGACCCAACAAGTCCACACCGCCCCTCTGAAGAGCATCCCACCCAGACCCATTTCCCTAATTTCCTGTACCTAACCTACATATCCCTGAATGCTACGGGCAACTTAGCATGGCCAATCCACCTAGCCTGCGCATCTTTGGACTTCGGGAGGAAACTGGAGCACCCGGAGGAAACCCACACAGACATGGGGAGAATGTGCAAACTCCACACAGTCGCCAGAGGGTGGAATCGAACCCGGGTCCCTGGTGCTGTGAGGCAGCATTGCTAACCGCTGAGCCAGCGTGCCACCTTGATAGAGTAGATAAGAACAAACTGTTTACGGTGGCTGTGGGAGTTGGAAGCAAGATGAGCTCAGAATTTTGAAAAGTTGACAAAAAAAGAGGGGTGATGTGAATTTGAGACAACAAGGTGCAGGGCTGGATGAACACAGCAGGCCAAGCAGCATCATAGGAGCAGAGAGGCTGACGTTTCGGACCTAGACCCTTCATCAGAAAATTTGCCTGACACAGCAAGTTGTTGTGATCTGGAATGTGCTGTCTGAAATTCTACTAGAAACAAATTTGTTAGTAACTTTTGAAAGGAAAACTGGATTTGAATTGGAAAATTAAGAACATGGGGAAAGAACGAAGGACTGAGATTAATTGGATGGCTCTTTCAAACTACCAAACAGGCATATTTGGTCGAATGGCCGTCCATGTTTGTGATTCTTGGAAGATTTGTGCTGACTCCTTCCCTACCCACAGAGTCGGTGTTAATATCTTCCTCCCATCATGGGATAGACATCTGAGGCAGAGCTACGTGGTTGGTACTGTGTGCTGTGTTGAGGCTGCCTGTGCCTTGTCCACTCTCTACATGTCACTATGTCATGTTGTGTTTGTGCAGTATTTAAGGCCCCTAAACTGTTCCCTCCACCAACAGCACAAAGGATTAAAAGCTCGGGCCTTCTGTGGAACTTGTAACAAACTGGCGGGAGATGCAAGAAGGATGTTGCCCCCAGAGAGGCAGGGGTTCTAGAACCGGGGACACAGTCTCTGTACAATAGGCAGACTATATGACTGAGAAGGGAAGGCACTTCTTCAATAAGAGGGTGATGAATCTTTGGAATCCTTTATCCCAGAGGGTTGTGGAGGCTCAGTCACGGAGTTTGTTCGAGACTGAGGTTGATTGATTTCTTGATATTGATAACACTGAGGAAAACAAGGATAGTGCAGGTGATAGTGTTGAAATACAAGATCAGCCTTGATCTCATTGAATGGCCATCTCCTATTTCTTATGTCCTTGTGATGATCCAAATGATCAACAACTTTTTTGTTCTAGTAGATCACCCTCAATGCCTGGGTTTGGTCCACCGTATTCCACACACGTGACACTCCACTAACTGAGGTAGGTAGCCAGATTCCTGAGGCTGCAACCTCAGTTACAACCAAACAATCATGGTTTTAGACAGAACCAGCAGGATTGGTTTTATTGTAATTTTAATTTTGCAGAAAATGGATTACTTCTGTGCTTCATCAGTGGTGCTGTACTCCATCTACCTGTGCTGTGTCCGGTGAGTCTGTCTTGTTGAAATTCCCTGTGTTACATCACTGTCAGTGACCTCTCACCATCAGCAGCAGCTGATTTCAGCCTGACTGGTGTTCAACCTTTTGACAAGGTTTTGAACAATGAGTCTACATGCCGTTCAACAACAACAACTCTTACACTGTCTGTCAGAGAGACATGGCCTCCTTCAGCCTCTGGCTTCACCCAGCGTCTGCTCGTGTCAGCTGTGGCTCAGTGGGTAGCACTCTACCTTTAGAAATTTATGGGTTCAAGTCCCTATCCACGACTTGATCAAAAAGTCCTAGGTTGACAGTCCCAGAGCTGTACTGATGGCGTGCTGCACTGTCAGAGGTGGTTTGTTTTGGATGAGACATTAAGCTGAGGTCCCTCTGCCCCCTCAGATGGATGTAAATGTTCCCACGTCACTCTTCCAATGAAAGGCAAGGGAGCTCTCCACTCTGTCCTGCACAGTTAACTCAGTGGGCCGAAAGGCCTTGTTCCTGTGTTGTACTAACGTAATTTGGACAGATTGTCTGGCCATATCATAATGTTTGAGAGCTTGTGTGTGCAAACTGGCGACTGTTTCCTACAGGGAAACAGTGACTATACTTGAGAAGTACTTTGGCTGTAAAACCATTTTGGATTTCCTGGTGGTTGTGAACGGTGCTATAGAAATACAAGATCTTTCTTGATGATATGGGGTGGGGTGAAGGAGAATTGTTAGTTCATCTCTTATGAAGAGAGCATCATGTCAGAGGGACAGTTGGTATGTTTATAAGTGAGCTGAGAGTGAATGTCGTGTTATTGCTGGCTATTGTTTTACTGCAGAAGCTGAGGTTCCAGCCAACAGCAGATGAGAGCAGGTCAGGGTCTAGCTATCTGAGTGTGACCAGTTAACTTGAACCACAGCTGTCCCTTAGAGGCAGTGTTCTTTGAAAGCCAGCCCCTCCTGCTTCAACCTTCCCAAACCTGCCCACAAATTCACTCAACACGCTCCATTCAGCAACCTCTGCCATGATGCCACCTGAAGCTGTACCTCCTGGGTCGGTGACTAATGATTGACCAAGGGATAAAACATCCAAATGCTTGAAATCTGGTCTTTGTTTCCTGTCTACAGATGAGGTCAGGGGGGAGTTAGAGAAGCTGAAAATAATTTGAAAGACCATGTTTGGAATGTATGCAGAGCTCATGAGGTGTAGAGTTTGAGAAGTTTTGTGCTTTCTGTTGGTATCTCAGGAGGTTTTTTATTATTTTAATCATTCTATAAACAGTGCTCGATCCAACTATCCCAAGTCATATTAAGTGTTTCGGGGCACTTTATAATGAATTTGCAATTAATGGCATTGCAAGAATGGGACCCCATGCTGTTTGGTTCTCTATGTAGTATATTCTTCACCCGCAGTATCTGCTGAATGTTGCCATGTCACATTTGGCTCCGTTCGTTCTCCAGGACCATGGGCTTGACTCACCCTTGGACAGCCAGTATTTTTGGGGTCCTACTCATTGGATTGTTCACATGTCACATCTGGTACCTCACCTTTGTGCGTTTTGATTATGGGTACAACATGGCTGCCAATGTCTTGATAGGTAAGTGAGGCGCTGACAGGAGTCTATCCTATTTCCTTACTTCAGTAAGAATATGTTTAAAGTAGTAATGTTTTTTTATCTCTGGGTTTAAATTCAGGCAGACTGTTTGTTTGAGTACCAAGACATTTACTCTGTAGTGAACCCTGTGCTATCTGTCCTGGGAGTGTTTGATGGAGACAGTGTAGAGGGAGTTTTGCTAGCAATTCAAAAGAGTAGAAAAAGTTTAACTAGCTGTTTAAGAGTAAGGGGAGCTTTATTCAGTATTTAATCCTGTTCTGTCCCTGTCTGGGACTCTCAAAGTCATACAACATGGAAAAAGATCCTTCGATCCAACCAGTCTATGCTGACTATGTTCCCAAACTAAACTCATCCCACCTGCCTGCATTTGGCTCCTATCCCTCTAAACCTTCCTATTCATGAACTTATCCAAATGTCTTTTAAATTAAATATCTTTGTAAATGTACTTTCATCCGCCACTTTCTCTGGCAGTTCATTCCACACGAACCATGCTGTGGCTTTAAACAACAAAGATGCACCTCATGTCCTTTTCCTTTTAAATCTTTCTCCTCTCACTTTTAAAAATGTCCCCTACTTTTGAACTGCTTCACCCTAGGGAAAAGATACTTGTTATTCGCCTTATCTATGCCCCTCATAATTTTATAAACGTCTATAAGGTCACCCCTCAACCTCCTATGCTCCCTGAAAAATGTCCCAGCCTATCCAGTCTATTTTTATACCTCAAACCCTCCATTCCCAGCAACATCCTGGTAAAACTTTTCTGAACACTCTCCAGTTTAATAATATCCTTCCTTATAGCAGGGAAACCAGAACTACATGCAGTAGTACAGAAGTCCTATCCAACGTCAACATGACCTCCCAACTCCTATATTCAAAAGTCCAAGTGATGAAGGTAAGCATGCTAAATGATACCTTAATCACAGAGGTCTCTCCGTTCTACAGTACTACCCAGGGCCCATTAATTGTATAAGTCCTGTCCTTGTTCGTATTACCAAAATGCAATACCTCACATTTATCCAAACAAAACCCCATCTTTTGATGGGGAAAGTGTAGAGCGAACTTACTTTCAGTTTGAGTGGAGCAAGTTTGCTTGATGTTTGATTTCCCAACACTGACCCCTGATGTAGGAGAAGTTTCCAGGAAAGTGAGCGAGTGAAGATGCATTTAGGACAGATATGAAACATAGGAGCAGAAGTAAGTGCTTCAGCCCTCTGGTCTGCTCTGCCGTTCATCATGAATGTGGCTGATCATCCAACTCAATAAACATGTTCCCACTCCCGCCCGTGTCACTTGATCCCTGTAGCCCCAAGTGCTGTATCCAACTTCTCTTTAAATCATATAATGTGTTGACCTTGACTGCTTTCCATGTTAGTGAAATCCACAGGCTCCCCACTCTGTATGAAGCTACTTCTCCTCCTCTGTCTTCTGGCTGACCCTGTTTCCTGAGACTGTGACCCCCTGGTTCTGGATTCCCTATGACTGGGAACATGCTTCCTGCATCCAGGAATCTGTTGTTGCACTCCCTCCATTGTAAAAACATACTACTTCAGATAAGCAGGACAAAACTACACTAGTATTCCAGGTGTGGTCTCACCAAGGCCCTGTATAATTGCAGCAAGTCATCTCTGCTCCTGTACCTGAATCCTCTCTCTTTTTGAAGACAGTCAAACCATTTGCCTCCTCCACCACCTGCACAGTTCCCTTCAGCGACAGGTATATAAGGACACTCGGGTGTCGTGCACATTCGCCTTTGTTTATAAGCATGCAGGTAATAATCTGCCTTCCTGCATTTGCTACCAAAGTGGATAACACCACATTTATCCACATTATACTGCATCTGCCATGCATTTGCCCACTCACTCAACTTATTCAAATCTCTCAGAAGTATCTCTGCATCCTTATCACTGTTCACCCTCCAGCCAGCTTTGTGTCATAGACTCAGATGTACAGCATGGAATCAGACCCTTCAGTCCAATTCGTCCATGCTGACCAGATTTTCCTAAATTAATCTAGTCCCATTTGCCAGCATTTGGCCCATATCCCTCTAAGCCCTTCCTATTCATATACCTATCCAGCTGCCTTTTAAGTGTTGTAATTGTACCACCCTCCTTTACATCCTTTAGTAGTTCATTCCATACACGTGCCACCCTTTGTGAAAAGGTTACTCCTTAGGCCGCTTAAATCTTTCCCTTCACCTTAGACTTATGCCTGCTAGTTTTGGACTCCCCACTCCAGGGAAAAGACTTTGGCTAGTCACCCTATCCATGCCCCTCATGATCTTCTAAAACTCTAAGATCACCCTGCAGCCTCTGACACTCCAGGGAAAATAGCCCCAGACTATTCAGCCTCTCCCTCCAACTTGACCCTGGCAATATCCTTGTAAATCTTTCCTGAACCCTTTCAAGTTTCACAAAATCCTTCCTATAGCAGGGAGACCAGAATTGCATGCAGTATTCCAAAAGTAGCCTAACCAATGTCCTGTACAGTCACAACATGACCTCCCAACCCCTGTACTCAATGCACTGACCAGCAAAGGCAAGCGTAACAAACACCGCCTTCGCTATCCTATCTACTCATGACTCCACTTTCAAGGAATTTGAACCTACACACCAAGGTCTCTTTGTTCAGCAACACTCCCCAGGACCTTACCATTAAGTGTGTAAGTCCTCCCCTGACTTGCCTTTCCAAAATGCAGCACCTCACATTTATCGCAATTTTTAAAAAAAATTAAATTAAACTCCATCTGCCACTCCTCGGTCCATTGGCCCATTTGGTCAAGATGCTGTATGCTCTGAGATAACCTCCTCCTTTTCTGTCCAGTACACCTCCGATTTTGGTGTCATCTGCAAATCATTTGATAAAAAAGGTTTAGGCAGCGAATGCTGAATCAATGGTATTGTTTACTTCAGAAGTCTCTGGAGGTTCATTGTTGGGTATGTTCAAGATTTAAGATCGATAATTTTTTGGATTCTATAGTCAGAAGATGTGGGAATTGGTTGGGTGAGTAGGATTGAAGTAAAAGTCCAGCCAGGGTATTCCAGAAGGGAGGAGCAGACTTGAATTGTATGTCTGATTCCTGCTCTGTTTTCACGTTTTCATGCATATGCACCTGACTGTCTGGTTTCAGGAATGATTAATCTCCTGTGGTGGCTCAGCTGGTGCCTCTGGAACAGATGTCACCTCCCCTATGTGTGGAAGTGTATGGTGGTTGTTGTGATGCTGCATGGACTGGCTTTGCTTGAGCTCCTGGACTTCCCTCCATTGCTGTGGGTGTTTGATGCTCATGCAGTCTGGCACTTCAGCACCATCCCTGTGCCATTCCTCTTTTACAGGTCAGTGACTGAGATTTACTGTCTACTCTGTGGCTGTCTTAGCTCAGGAGGGCGTCGTGCTGTTCATTGTGGCTTTGCTTTCTCCTCCATCAAGTTATCCAGTTAGTCCCACTCCACCTGGCTTTTGCCCCTCATCCCTGAAAAATCTTATCAGATATTTAGCAACTCGGTCATAAGCACAGAAACAGACCCTTGGGTCCAACCAGTCAATGGCGACCATTTTCCCAAACTAAACTAGTCCCACCTGCCTGTGTTTGGCCCATATCCCTCCAAACATTTCCTATTCATGAACTTATCCAAATGTCTTTTTAAAAGTTGTAATTACCTGCATCCACCACTTCCTTTTGGTAGTTCATTCCACACACGAACCACTCTGTAAAAATGTTGCCCTCACATCCTTTTGAAAACTTTTTCCTCTTGCCCTAAAAATATGCCCCCCTAGCTTTGGACTTTCCCACCTTAGGGAAAAGACACTTGCTATTCACCTTATCTATGCTCCTCGTGATCTTATAAACTTCTTTTTAAGGTCACTCCCTCAACCTCCTCCACTCCAGTGGAAAAATGTCCCAGGCTATTTTATAACTCAACCCCTCCATTCTCAGCAACATCCTGGTAAATCTTTTCTGAACCCTGTCCAGTTTAAAAATATCCTTCCTATTAGCAGAGCGACCAGAAGAGGCCTCACCAAAGTCCTATACAACCTTAACATGATGTCCCAACTCCTGAACTTAAAGATCAGAGCAAGCATGATAAATGCCTTCCTAAGCACCTGTGACACATGTTTCAAAGAATTATGTACTTGAACCCCTAGGTCTCTGTTCCACAACACTTACCCAGGGCCCTACTGATAATTGTGTAACTCCTGCTGTTGTTTGTATTACCAAAGTTCAATACCTCACATTTATCCAAATTAAACTCCATCTGTCACTTTTCAGCCCATTGACCCAATTGATCAAGATCTCCTCCTTTGATTTTTTTTTTTTTTTTTAAAAACCTTCACTGTCAATTGCCACCAATTGTGGTGTCATCTGCACACTTACTAATCATGCCTCCTATATTCTCATCCAAATTGTTTTATATAAATGACAAACGAAAATGGACCCAATACCAATCCCTGTGGAACACCACTAGTCACAGGCCTCCAGTCGAGAAACAACCCTCCACCACCATCTTCTGTCTCCCCCTTTTAAGCCAATTTTGTATCCAGTTGGCAAGCTCACCCTGAATCCCATGTGATCTAACTTTACTAATTAATCTACTATGCCGAACCTTATCAAACTCTTTACTAAGGTCCATGTAAGCAATGTCTTCTGTTGTGTTTTCATCAATCTTTGAGTTTTTTTTTGAGGAAGTAACCAATCAAGTTTGTGAGATGCTATTTCCTCTGCACAAAACCATGCTGATATCTTTAATCATTCCTTGCCTCTCCAAATACATGTAAATCCTATCTTGCAAAATTACCTCCAACAACTCACCCACACCAATGTCAGGCTCACAGGTCTATAGTTCCCAGGCTTCTCCTTACAGCCTTTCTTAAATAAAGGCCCAACATTAGCCACCCTCCGACACCTCACCTGTGCTTATGGATGATACAAATATTTCTGCTAGGGGCCCCACAGTTTCCTCTCTAACTTCCCACATGTCCTGAGATACACTTGATCAGGTCCCAGAGATTTATGCATCATTATGTATTCTAAGACTTGCAGAACTTCCTCTTCTGTCACTCCTATCCTTCCATCAGCTAAGTTTCTGTAATAGCTATGATGTCCAAGTCCCATACGTGCCCTGCGTTCATCTGCCTTACCTGTAAGATCCCTTGCATCGAAATAAATGTAGGTTGATTCTTCAGAGTTGCTTCATTCTCTAACTTGCTCTTGACTGTCTTTTCTAATGAACTTTTGATTCAGAACCATCCTCCTCTATCTTTCTATTTATATTGCTATTTAGGAACCTCCATCCCCACTCTCTACTAGTTTAAAAGTGCTTTATATTCTGACAAGTCATCTGACTACCACTCCTCTTCACGGAATTAGAAGTTTTTTTCCCTTTTTTTTGATGCTTTCCCCAACTACTTCAGTTAACCATGGATGGTGGTTCCTCCCATCAGAATTTTTCTTTACTGTAGAAATGTATTCCAAAATAGAACTAGCTAATCTTCCTGCCAGGATGTCGATCCCTTTCCAGTTCAGGTGGAATTTATCCCTTTTGAACAGTATTTTCTGCCCCAGAAGAGATCCCAATGATCCAACAATCGGAATCCTTGCACATTGCACCATCGCGTCAGCCATTGATTTATCTTCCATATCTTTTTATTCCTACTTAGTAGTATGTGGCACCAGGAATAAACCAGACATTACCTTTGAGGATCAGCCTTTTTGAGTTCTACCTAACTTCTTATATTCACTCTCCAAAGGCTTAACCCTTTCTCTAACTATTGCGTTCTTACCAATGTGTACAACAACTTCCAGCTTCTCACTGTCCCCTTTGACAATGTGCTTGAGCTTCAAGAATTTTGAGAACTCCTTAACCTTGGCACCAGGAAGGCAACATACTATCGTAGATTCACACTAACTGCTGCAGAATCCCCTGTCTGCACCCCTCAGGAGAGCCCCCATAACAATTATTCTTTTACATCTTAACAAGCCCTGCTCAACATAAGATTCATTCTTAGTGCCCAAGCTCGAACAGCCACTTCTATTTTCCTTTGAAGAGACTAACCCTTCAACAGTATCTAAAACTGAATATCTGTTTGAGGGAGGAATATCCATAGGAGACTTTTGAATTAGCTTCTTACCTTTCGTGACAGTTGCCCATATATCTGTCTGATCCTGCTGTATAACCACCTCTCTAAATCGACTAACCATCACATCTTGTTTCTTGAATATCCTCAGTGGCATTAAGCCTAAAAAGAAGATGATCTTAAAAGCAGCTTCTATATTAAAAACTACCCTTCCTTACAGATTTTAATCTTAATGCAAAAAAAATTTTTAAAAATTAAAACTTTAAAAAAAAAATCAAGCACTTAGCTGAAATTCTCGTCAACTGACAAAAAGCTTCCTCCTGGAGTCCTCTATCCATCAGTTTTCAAATCTCTGGATAAACAAAGAAAATCTCTCTCCAGAGCCGCTGAGCAAACACGAGGACGGGCCTCTCCCACGAGCTCTGTGTGTAAAACAATCTCTCCTTCATGTATTTCCTTTCACTTTTTTAACTATAAAACTCCTTCTAGAAAGTTTCCTCCTCTCCCCTCTGGTCCTTTTGCCAATTATCTTAAATCCATGTCCCTTTATTTATTGGCTCTTCTCCCAGTGGAAACAGAGTAAGCCAGGAGAAACTATCAAATCCTTTCACCTTCACTAAAAAGGGCTGTCAATTGGGGCTGGTATTTGTGCAATAGTTTAAGAAGACCGTGGTTCAGAAGGTCAGGGTGTAGAATTGGTTTTGGGTGATGATTAGGAATAGTTGGGGAAATAAATCGCCAGTGGTAGAGGTCTACAAGCACCCCCAACTGTTACCAATACACAGGGCAAAGTATACAGGAAGTAATATTGGATGTTTGTGATAAGAGGGTGGCAATAATCATGGATGATTTTAATCTAAGTATACACTGGAAAAAACAGCTTGGCCGTCATAGCCTGGATGAGGAGTTTATAGTGCTTTTAAGGTAGGTCCTTAGAGTATCACATTCTTGAACCAATCAGAGCAGATTATGTTAAAATTGTTGTTGTTTAATGAAACAGGATTAATTAATGACCTCAGTGTAAAGGCATTTCTGGACAACAGCGACCACAATACGAAGTGAATTTTAGATCTAGTCTTTAAAAAAATCAGTGTACCAAAGATCAATATTTTAAACTTAAATCAAGACAACTACATGGACTTGGGAGCTGAGCTAGCTGAAGTGAACTTGGATACAGGGCTAAGAGATGGATCAATAAAGAGGTAGTGGCAGGCTTTTAGGGTATATTGCAGAGCGGTCAAGATTAGATACATTCCTACAGTAAAGAAAAATTCTGGAGGGAGGAACAACCATCAATGGCTAACTAAAGAAGTTGGGGAAAGCATCTAATTTTAAGGGAAAAAGCTTAATTCCATGAAGATGAGTGATGGGTCAGAAGATTTGTCACAATGTAAAGAAAAGAAAATGACTAAAGGGTGAAGTCACAAGGAAGAAAGAGCATGTGAGAGGACGCTAACTAGAAACGTGAAAACAGATAGCAAGAGTTTCTGCAGGTATATAAAGAAAAATGTTGAGTGGTGATCTGCTAGAGAGTGAGAATGGGGAGTCAACAGTGGAAAATAAGGAAATGGTGAATGAAATAAAGAAATACTTTGCTGTTTGTCTCCACTATAGAGGATATTAAACAACCCAGTAACAGCTGTAAAAGAGGTTGAAGGGAGGGACTTGATGAAATTATAATCATTAGAAAAGTGATACTGAGCAAACTGTGATAACAAGGTGTAGAGCTGGATGAACACAACAGGCCAAGCAGCCGCCTCCTACCACATCCCAAAACCAGTCCAGCTCGTCCCCGCCTCCCTAACCTGTCCTTCCTCCCACCTCAAGCCGCACCCCCATCTCCTACCTACTAACCTCATCCCGCCCCCTTGACCTGTCCGTCCTCCCTGGACTGACCTATCTCCTCCCTACCTCCCCACCTACACTCACCTTTACTGGCTCCATCCCCGCCTCTTTGACCTGTCTGTTTCCTCTCGACCTATCTTGTCCTCTATCCATCTTCTATCCGCCTCCCCCTCTCTCCCTATTTATTTCAGAACCCCCTTCCCCTCCCCCATTTCTGATGAAGGGTCTAGGCCCGAAACGTCTTAAAAGCCTTCCTGCTCCTATGATGCTGCTTGGCCTGCTGTGTTCATCCAGCCCTGCACCTTGTTGTCTCGGATTCTACATCATCTGCAGTTCTGACTATCTCAGAGCAAACTGTTGTTGCTGTAGGCTGACAAGTCCCTTGGTCTTGGTGCACTTCTTCCTAATGCCTCAAAAGAGGTGGCTACTGAGGAGTAGACACACTGGTGTCAATTTTTCAAAAGTTACTAGATTCTGGAAAATTTCATCAGCTAGAAAATGGGAAATAGAATCCCTTTATTCAATAAGGAAAGGAGGCAGTAAACCAGAAACCATACACCACTTAGCTTGACATCTTGTTTTGGGGAACATATTAGAATTAATCATTTAGGGAAGCTGTAACTGGGCATTTGGGGGGAAAAAAATCCTCAGGATAGTCAGGAAGAGTCAGCATGTTTTGAGGAAGAAATTAATTGAAGTTCTTTGAAATAGTAACTGTGGATAAAGGAGAGTCCACTGACACATTGTTCTTGAACTTGCAGAAGGCATTTGAGAAGATGCCACATGAAAGGTTATTTGCAAAGTAGAAATACCTGATGTGAGGGTGTAACAGTAGCATGGACAGAAGATTCGTTGGCTGGCTGGCAGACAATAGTACATATAAATGTTGTTTTTGTTTTTTTCTGATTTGACAGGATGCAACAAATGCAATCTTATTGGGGTGTGTCCTGCAGGCTTTACAACTTATATCAATGACTTAATGAGGGGAGTGAAGGCTCAGTGGCTAAATTTGAAGATGACATGAAGGTAGCTAGGAAAGCATGCTGTGAGGATGACATGAGACTAGAGGTGCATATAGATTGACTGGGCAAAACGTCTGGCAGATGAAATGTAGTGTGGGAAAATGTGAAATTGGCAGAATGTTTACTTGAATGGAGAATAACTGCAGAATTCTAAGGAGCAAAGAGATCTAGTTGTTCCAGTGCTGCAGTTACAATGTTAGCTTACAAGTGTAGCATTTACTCAAGATTTACAAAATTCTACCTTTATGAGAAGACCTGAATATAAAAGTAAACATTGTCCTTCAGCGATAGAGGGCGTTGGTTAGACCGTGTCTCTCATACTGTGCTCGGTTTGGGGCTCCTTATTTAGGGAAGGGCGTAAATGCATTGGAAGTGGTTCAGTGGAGGTTTACTAGAATGGTCCTTGGAATGACTGCGTTGTCTGAGGAAAAGTTAGACACGCTGGGCTTATTTCCATTGGGATTTAGAAATGTGAGGGGTGACTTGATTGAAGAAATTAAGATCCTGAATGGTCTTAATGAGGTGGATGTGGAACAGATGTTTCCTCTAGTGGGTCAGTCCAGAACAAGGGAGATAACAAGGTGTAGAGCTAGATGAACACAGCAGGCCAAGCAGCATCAGAGGAGCAGGAAAGCTGACATTTCGGGCCTAGACCCATAAGGGAGCCCTGTTTTAGAATGAGGAATCACCTTTGCAGGACAAAGTATTTCTCAGAGGGTTATACAACTCTGGAACTCTCCACATCAGAAAGCATTGGAGACAGGTCATTGAATAATTTTAAAGCAGAGGTGGATAAATTCTTGTTTAGGGAAGTCAAAGATTATTGGGGATGGCTCAAACTGTGACATTCGAAACTAGACCAACTGTGAATTTATTGAATGGAGCAGGCTTGAGGGACCAAGTTACTTAATTCTGCTTCCAATTCATATATCCGTATATAAGACCTAAAGTCTATTAACTAAAGTCTCTCTTCTCTCAATACAATAGAGTACAAAGACCAGAAGGCAGGACATTTTGAATTTGCTGAAGTCCTGTGTTCGTAGACTCATTAAAATATGCTAAACAATTCAAATCTCAGGGTCCAAGAAATCAAATCTGTAATTTTAGGAGGTCAGACTGCAGCTTCCACATTGTAGGCTCATGTCATAGGTGGTGGAGATCCGAATGAAGGCAATGGCTGACCCCCTCTGAGACCCTGATACTGAACACCAGTCCCCCTCAGTCTCTGTGAATCTGTTATTGGGACTCGGCACTCTCTACATGATCACATCACTTGCCGTGATAAATGTATGTGTAACCAGTCTTCCATTTTGCTGACAGATGTATTCTGGTGTTAGATGACTGGTCTAAACTGCTTATTGTAGAAGTTTTACATTGAAGACATGAAGATGATGCTTTATTTTAGTGAGGCCTGCAGTTATGTGATTACATTAACTCTGTCTGTCTCTCTTTTTGTTTTCTCCCAGCTTTCTGATTGATGATAGTCGGCACCTCCTCGATGTGAAAACTGAATAAGTACTTGCCTATGAGCTGCTGCATCTGAATGTGAATGTGAGAGACTGTGTCTCACTGTAATGCCCATGTCAACACTTACCTGCATGGACTTTGCACTGTTCACATTGGGATTTTCTGCTAAATATGTTGGTTTATCACTGACACAGAAACCTGACATGCTAATGCAAGAATCTAAGATTTATTCGAGGCTCAGAACTCTGAAACAAAGGTCACATCTCACTGAGGTGACGTGCTGGAAAACAAACCCTGCTGTTCCTGGAGTTATCACAAAAGTTAAGTTTTTATCAAAATAACAGAATTTTCCAACTTACCTGCCTTTTTAGACCCTGTTTAACAGAAAACACAGACCAGATTTATTATTTATTATTGTTATTTATTACAAATAGATTCCAGCTACAGATAAACAAATATGAACTGTGGACATATACTTCTGCTAATTAAAACTCTTGCCCCCTTATAAAATTCACCGGGCACGCACACAGCCGAACAAAAAGAATTGGTGCTATGAGTGGAAGGAAAAACTGAGAAGGCATTTCAATAGTGTCTGTCCACATGGTTCGCTGCGATGATACTTTTGCTTGTCAGGATTTGCTGTTTCTCAGTCTCTCAAGGAATTTATTACTTCCTCATAGAAGGTACAGAGTAACTAGTTCACAAATTGCCAAGTCCTTTAGCTATTGGTTAGAAGCCACAGTTTACAGCAACTGTGAGGGAAAACAAACTGGCTTTCTTCAGGCTTTAATTCTTCTTTTACTATAGTGAGAAAGACACCACCACCCTTCCAGAGGTCTGAAGGCCTTTGGCCATAATGTTGACACCCACCAGCTGTTCAGCTTCCTGGGAGACAATGACCTTGTTGGCAGGCACGGCCTTTGGTCTGTGAAGTTACTAAACTTTCTGCACCACCTGAACAAGTAGCAGTGTTCATTCCACTTGGATTAATTGTCAGCACCGTGCAGCAATCCCTTCCATAGTTGTTGGTTTTTAAAACAATTCTTTTCTCATTTCAGTCCACAATTGAAAATACAGAAATTAAAAAAGGAAACTGTTTCTACAAGCAGAAGAATTTGGGGAAAGGGGAAGAGAGTAGGACTGGCTATGCTTCTGTTCTAGAGAGTTGGCATAGAGACATTGGGCCAAATAGCCAACCCCTGACCCAATGCTGCCGCATGTTTATTTTTGATTGGAACCATTGGGGAGATGGTTTTATTGGAGATATTGGTTATCCTAACTGCACTTGCTGAAACTAAGGAAGATTGTGTTTCTCTTCTCAGCTCTGCCACCAAGTGGCAGAAAACACTGGAGCAGCCTGACCTTTTATTTTCATTTTCGCCCATGACTGTTTCTGGGGATGAGATGGAGCCTGTGGAGGGTGGGGGGAAAGGTTAGGAAGGGGTGGCAGTGAGGTCATGGGAGGAAAGAAGGACTGGAGGAGGGAGTGGGGGCTTCATTCATTCTTTACTCAGTTTCAATCAGCCTAGAAAATGCCCCTCACACCACATTCATCCACTGAATTTGCTGTTTTGACGTCATTGTAATCCTGTGCACACCTGTAGCAGCAAGATTGCTCCTCCCTGCTCCTATCCCTCACTCCTGTCTTGGGTGCTGTTTTGGTGTTGTTCTGATGTGGAGGTGCTGGTGTCGGACTGGGGTGGACTCGGTCAAAAATTACATGACACCGGGTTATAGCCCAACAAGTTTATTTGAAAATGTTAGCTTTCGAAGCTTTGCTCACGTTAACCTGAGGAAGGAGCAGAGCTTTGAAAGCTAGTGTTTTCAATATAAACGTGTTGGCATGTATCCTAGTGCTGTTTGATTTTTGAGCTTGATGTTGGTGGGAAGTGATGGCTGAAGTTGGCCACAAGACTGGTGCAAAGGTTAGAGCTACAATTATTTATTAGAGCTTTCTCCTGTTTAATGGATTCGCCAGGCACCCTGCAATCATTGAATTGAGTGGTTAAATCCATCCACTGAATGTCAGAGATAATTTTGAATAAAGAAATACATTTTTAAAATAAATCTGTCAGTATCTCAGAACTCCTAACATAACAGCTTATAGGAGCATTATCACATGAAAATTGTGCTTAGAAGTCATCACCTTGCCATGGGAACTTGGGATGAGCAGTAAATACTGGTCTTGCTCTGCATTCTCTGGTGTTCCTCTCACTCCAGTGTTGTATTCCCTGGAGTTTATCATTGTCTTGTTCAGTATTTCCTAGTATTTAATGCAATCCAGTGTTTATTAATGTTTTACACAGTCCTTTCTTTCCCATTGTAAAGAGGAGTTATTTTTCTTGAGATTATTATTTATGATCTGACCCTTAATTCTTAAGCACAAATCCTCTGAACAGAATAATAGTTTAGTTTTGTGTTTATTAGTGATTTATTTTGAGATGTTTTATCACAATGTCTTTAAACAAAAGTTGAAAAAACCCGAAACACTGCAATTAGGTGAGTCAACATTATAAGCAAGCACGGTGTCACACATACACTTAGAGCAATACCAAATCATTGCACAAACCTAGAGCCAGATTTCAGGAACAGCTGTGAGGGTTTTGGAAGTCTTTTAAAAAAGAGATTAACCAGCATAGTTCCAGGAGTGAGACTGGAAGAAATTGGAGAACTGTGATTTTCAGAGCAGAGAAGACTCGAAGGAGATTTGCTTAAAATAAGCAAGAGTTTTGAACAAGTCAATAAAGTAAATCTACCTGCGGTAGCTGATGGGTAACTGGAGGGCTCAGATTGAAGGTGATTAACAGAGAAACCAAAAGCAGCTTGAGGTAATTTTACAGAATGGTTAGAACATACTGCCTGATAATCTGCACCCACCAGCTCAGTAATAACCTTCAAAAAGGGAACTAGCTAAATGCTTGAATGTAGGGACAAATACAGGAGCATGGCAAAAGAGCAGGAGAGTGGCATTAACTGGAGTAACTAAATTGCTCTTCAAAAGAGCTGGGAACTCTATGCTACACGATTCTGTTTCCTATACGTGTGTACATATGCCTAGAAAATGAACATCATCATTCACGTGCCAATAACATATTCATCTAACCATGAAGCATGCCTCAAACAGAGCTGCTTGTCACACATGGTTACAGCATGCATCTAATAGTTAGGTACACCACATATGTGCCTGTGCTGATTATTGTACAGTGTTAGCTGATCTGTTGTGTTGCACATGATTGGTTTATGTTGCAAGCTGAAGCTTCAGCTTCATCTGAACAATTCATATCAAGAACTGCCAGAGTTGGACAAATTATTTATTCACTTCTATTTGTGTTTTCCTGGTTGTAGATGAAAAACAATTAACAAATTGAAAGTCGAAAAGCATCTTTTGAGTCAGTCCAGAGGTGAGTGATGTTCAGGCAATTTCTGTTATACATGCACACGCACTCATTCACATACATTACACTAACTTTAGGGAGTGTGACCTATCACTGTGACTGTTTAACCCCAGTGTCATGTAGCTATTTTCTCTCACTCACTCTAGAGCTGCTTTTACGTCATTTGTATTTGAATGTTTGTGAAATCTCTGGCAGTGAAGTTACAAAGACACAGATCAGATCTTCTGTGCTTGGAGGTAGAAAACAGCATGCACGTCGTCAACCCCAATGTTCAGTTCAGGTGGCATGTTGTATGTTTTGAAGGTACAGATTCTGTAGCCGGACCTGCTAACTGCCTCCTTCACGTAATCTTCATCGAGAGGAACGACCCTGAGTTTCACTTCCCCAGCCAGGTAATAGGATTCATTGAGTGCCCCAATCATCAGGAGGAAACCACCTGGTTTCAGAAGTGAGCTAATATTGGCTAAAGCCTTCTCCAGTGATTTCTTATCTGGGCACACAGACTCGAGACAGAAGGTGGTGCTGATGGCATCCACAGGATCCAGCACCTTTGGGTGCAGAGGGTTTGCCTGCATGATGTCACAATGACAGACATCTTGAATTGTTTCCCGTAGTCTCCTCTCCATGTCTTCCCACTGATCCCTGCACAGAAAATCATCATTGTCAGAGTATTTCCTCACTGTCCGATTCCTCCTAACCCAACACTGACCAATCCCTCGCTAACCACGTTTTGACCCATCCATTACTGATCATAGGATTTACTGATTACCTGCTGTATGTGCATGTTGATTTGTAATTCATGTACCAGGGCACTCAGATTGCTCTGTGCCACTGAGTTCTGCATCTCTTCCTGTTTAAATACTATGCTGTTTTTCTGTTCTTCCTGGCAAAATGAGTAAGCATATCTTTATCCATGTTCTACTCCACCTACCAATATTTTTTTCCTCACTGAGACTTGTCTAAATTCCTTTACATACTTTCCACCTCCTTTTGACAGATTATTTTCCTACCTATTTTGGAGTCATCAGTACATTTAACCACCACACACAGTCCTGTCATCCAAATCTTTGCTATAGATTGTAAGTAGTTGAGGATCCAGCACTGATTCTTTTGACAGTCCATTCAACCCAAAAAAGACCGTTTATCCCAATTCTGTGTCCTGTGAGCTAACTTTTTTTTTTTTTTAAATCCATGGTAATATATTGTCCTCTGTTCTTCTTTTCCTCTTTTTTTTTTAATTGTAATAACTTTTTGGTGTGGTACTTTATCAAATGATTTTTATAAATCCATGGACACTATATCTATCATTTCCCCACCAGCTCCCATAGAAACATAGAAGGGAGCAGGAGAAGGCCATTCGACCCTTTGAGCCTGCTCCGCCATTCTTCACAATCATGGCTGATTGTCCAACTCAATAGCCTAATCCTGCTTTCTCCCTGTAACCTTTGATCCCATTCACCCCAAGTGCTGTAACTAGTCACCTCTTGAATACATTCAGTGTTTTGTTTTGGCATCAACTACTTCCCTGTGGTAATGAATCCCACAGGCTCACCACTCCTCATCTCCATCCCAAATCGTCTATCTTTAATCCTCAAACTGTGACCCCTGGTTCTGGATACACCCACTATCGGGAACATCCTCCCTGCATCTACCATGTCCAGTCCTGTTAGAATTTTATAAGTCTCTGAGATCCCACCCCCCGCATTCATCTGAACTCTAGCAAAAACAATCTCAACCTAGTCAATCTCCTCATACATCAGACCCACCATCCCAGGAATCAGCCTGGTAAACCTTCACTACGCTCCCTCAAGAGCAAGAACATCCTTCCTCAGAAAAGGAAACCAAAACTGCACAGAATATTCCAGCTGTGGCCTCACCAAGGCCCTGTATAACTGCAACAAATCCCTGTTCCTGCACTTGAAACTTCTCGCAACGAAGGCCAACGTACCATTTGCCTTCTTTACTGCCTGCTGTACCTGCATGCTTACCTTCAGCGATTGGTGCACAAGGACACCCAGGTCCCACTGCACACTTCCCTCTCCCAATTTACAGCCATTCAGGTAGTAATCTGCCTTCTTATTTTTGCTTCCAAAGTGAATAACCTCCCATTTATCCAAATTGTACTGCATCTGTGATAATAAGGTGTAGAGCTGGATGAACGCAGCAGGCCAAGCAGCATCAGAGGAGCAGGAAGGCCGACATTTCGGGCCTAGACCCTTCATCAGAAATGGGGGAGGGGAAGGGGTTTTTGAAATAAATAGGGAGAGAGGGGGAGGCAGATAGAAGATGGAGAGAGGAGAAAATAGATGGAGAGGAGGCAGACAGGTCAAAGAGGCAGGGATAGAGCCAGTAAAGGTGAGTGTAGGTGGGGAGGTAGGGAGGAGATAGGTCAGGACGGACAGGTCAAGGGGGTGGGATGAGGTTAGTAGGTAGGAGATGGGGGTGCGGCTTGAGGTGGGAGGAGGGGATAGGTGGAAGGAAGGACAGGTTAGGGAGGCGGGGACGAGCTGAGCTGGTTTTGGGATGTGGTATGGGGAGGGGAGATTTTGAAGCTTGTGAAGTCTTGGGGACCACTTTGCAGAACGTTACGCTCAGTTCGCACTAAACAACTGCACCTCCCAGTCGCGAACCATTTCAACTCCCCCTCCCACTCAGACGACATGTCCATCCTGGGCCTCCTGTAGTGCCACAACGATGCTACCCGAAGGTTGCAGGAACAGCAACTCATATTCCGCTTGGGAACCCTGCAGCCCAATGGTATCAATGTGGACTTCACAAGCTTCAAAATCTCCCCTCCCCCTACTGCATCCCAAAACAGCCCAGCTCGTCCCCGCCTCCCTAATCTGTCCTTCCTCCCACCTCAAGCCCCACCCCCATCTCCTGCCTACTAACCTCATCTCGCCCCCTTGACCTGTCCGTCCTCCCTGGACTGACCCATCTCCTCCCTACCTCCCCACCTACACTCACCTTTACTGGCTCCATCCCCGCCTCTTTGACCTGTCTGTCTCCTCTCCACCTATCTTCTCCTCTATCCATCTTCTATCCGCCTTCCCCTCTCTCCCTATTTATTTCAGAACCCCCTTCCCCTCCCCCATTTCTGAAGAAGGGTCTAGGCCCGAAACATCAGCTTTCCTGCTCCTCTGATGCTGCTTGGCCTGCTGTGTTCATCCAGCTGTACACCCTGTTATGTCAGATTCTCCAGCATCTGCAGTTCCTACTATCTCTTGTGCTGCATCTGCTATTGATTTGCCCACTCACCCAACCTGTCGAGATCATGTTGAAGGATCTCTGCATCCTCATCACAGTTCACCTTCCCACCCAACTTGGTGTCATCTGCAAACTTCGAGATGTTACATTTTGTTCCCTCATCGAAATCATTAATATATATTGTGAATAGCTGGGATCCAGCGCTGATTCCTTTTGCTCTCCAGTAGTTACTGCCTGCCAATTTGAAAAGGACGTGTTAATTCTTACTCTTTGTTTCCTCTCTGCCAACTAGTTTCCTATCCATCTCAATATACTTCCCACAGTCCCATGTGCTTTAATCTTGCACATTAATCTCTTATGTGGGACTTTGTCAAATGCTTTCTGAAAGTCCAAATATACTACATTGACTGGCTCACCCTTTGTCAACACTACTGGTTACATCTTCGTAGAATTCCAACAGATTTGTCAAGCATGATTTCTCCTTCATAAATCTATGCTGATTCTGTCTAATCCTGCCATTGCTTTCTAAATGCTGTACTATAAAATCCTTGACGATGGATTCGAGAATTTTCCCCACTACCGATGTTAGGCTCACCGGCCAATAATTCCCTGTTTTCTCTCTACCTCCCTTTTTGAATATTGGAGTGACATTAGTCACTATCCAATCTGCAGGGACTGTTCCAGAGTCTATAGAATCCTGGAAGATGATCACCAATGCATCCACTATTTCTAGAGCTACTTCCTTAAGTACCATGGGATGTAGTTTATCAGGCCCTGGGGATTTATTGGCCTTCAATCCCAACAATTTTCCCAGTACCATTTCTCTACTAATATCAATCTCCCTCAGTTCTTCCCTTTCACTAAACCTTGCCTCCTCCAACAAATCTGGTATCTGATTTGTGTCCTCTTTCATAAGACAGAACCAAAGTACGTGTTCAGTTCCTCAGCCATTTCTTTGTTCCCTTTTATCCGTTCCCCCATTTCTGTCTGTAGGGGACCTACATTTGCCTTTACCAATCTCTTTCTCTTCATGTACGTCTAGAAACTCTTAGCATCAATCTTTATGTTCCCTGCAAGCTTACTTTCGTATTCTATTTTCCCCTTCTTAATCAATCCCTTGGTCCTTCTTTGCTGAATTGTAAACTCCTCCCAATCCTCAGATTTATTACTTTTCTTGGCCAATCTGTATGCTTCTTCCTTGGATCAGATACTATATCTTATTTCCTTCTGTAAACCATGGATTGGCCCTCTTACCCATTTTGCTTTTGCGACAGACAGGAATAAACAGTTGTTGCAGTTCGCCATGCATTCCTTGAATGTCAATCCACTGTCATCCTTTTAAGTCACTCTCCCCAATCTATCAAGGCCAACTCACACCTCATATCTTCATAGTTTCCTCTATTAAGGTTCAGCACCCTAAGGTTCAACAACCTCATTCTCAATCTTGATTTTAAAAATTCTGTCATGTTATGGTCGCTCTTCCCCAAGGGGTCTCACACAGTGAGATTGGCAGTGATTCCCTTCTCATTACACGGTACCCAACCTAAGATGGCCCGCTCTCCAGTTGGTTTCTCCACATACTGGTCAAGAAAACCATCCGTATACACACCAGGAATTCCTCCTCTATGGTATTGTGGCTAATTTGATTTGTCCAATCTCTGTGCAGATTAAAATCAACCATGATCACTGATATTCCCTTATCACATGCATCTCTAATTTCCTAATTTAATGCCATTCTCGATAGTACCACTGCAATTTAGGGGTCTGTATGTGGCACCCACTAATGTTTTTTGCCCTTG